AGTGCCAATAAGTTACTCCTGAATACCTGTGTCTCTAAGCCCAAAAAAGCAAATGAGAAGGACGATTTATCAACATCCGCGCAGAGCAGAAAGCAGATATGAAGGTATCAAATGAAATCTCCCTCAAACAAGAAAACCTTATTACATATAAAAAGGTCTAAGAACCAAGGAAAAAGTAGAACATAGGATGTTCAGGATAAGATGTAATTTTTTCCCAAATTGGAAACCCAAGATTCACAGTCGATATCTCCCTATAACTTTTTGCCTTTAACAGCGTCCGTCCTTCTCAAAGCCTAAGCATCCATCCAATGCATTATTTATTTCCATATGACTTGAAGAGCCGTCGAAGAGAACAAAACTCCAAGCCAATCGCGATGATCTGACAGTAATCAGCCCGTTAAGAAAAATATACTTAAAATCCAAACAACAAAGACCGGTAATTTAATGAAAGAAAAGACATTAAGGGAAATATACTGACGAAAACATAATAGTCCACTACGCTCCACTTGACTTGAACATTTTTCTAAGAGTAACTTTAAGAGGAGGTAAAACTTCTCCATTTTCGTAAAAGTCAAATGTTTGATAGAAGGTACAATCATCCTTCGGACCGGGCTTATTCAAAGTTTAAGTTCCACCGCAGGAAACCTGTAGCAGGCGAAAGACATTATGACCAAGAGTTATACAACCCAAGTAGTAAACGTACTCGAATAATTCGTCCTGATTTACTCGTGTCAAGACAAAATGACAGACAAATTTCAAGCAACTGGTAAAAATACACAAGTATGGTTCAGATAACGATTCGCAAACTCAGTCGTATTAAGATCCACCGCAGCAGCCTGATAATGAGACAAGGCGCCCTCAGAATCAGTGTCATAAAATTCCGCTAAACGTTGTCGTTAAGTCAGTAAGATTTGAAGAAATCAGTGGGGAAAAGGGAATGAGCAAAAACGTTACAGGGAAAGCCACCCAAGATTTACCTACACCAACTGTGAACATGTCCACCTGCAAAGTTTCCGGAAAAGATAACCGATACTCATGTTAAAACCATAACAAAGCTGGGTACTCAACTCAATGGTACTTCCAAGTTGCATGGTATTTCACTAACGGAGACAAGTATGGTAAGCACGATACAAGCTAATTCAACGACAACATGATGTATAAAGAATACATCGCAACGAGGTACATCCGCTATTTACGAACACTAAAAAATAACGTTGGGAAAGTATTGAAATATGTATTCTTCTCTGTTCTCGGTTGATACATGACACAATTATGCTCGGGAGACCTCCCGCACTTTCCTCGGGGGGAAATGCACCCAGAGCGCAAGGTGAACAGAGCCTCGAAATACCCCCTGCCATTCAATAAATAATGCTTAACTTCTTCGATCCAGCATTTGTGCTATTTTCTGTTTTCATACCGAAAACAGAAAGTTTGTATCCTTTACAGCCTACTACTCATCGAATAAACGCTAAAAATGAGAACACCAGACAAGTTTGGATTAGGTAGAGATAGCCTCATGTGCAAATTCCAGGAGTGAACAATTCGATGAATTTCGAGGATTTGATGGAAAAATTAAGCATGAACTCTCATAGTTCAAGAGACACAGTCCGCCAACCTACCACCGACCACAAAAGAAAGACACGAATAAGTAACAAACACCAAGACAACCAAAGCAGTACATTCCAGAATAGACACTGCTGCTGCTCACATTCCTAAGGAAATTTCAAACATTTATCACACTATGCACGTTCTTTTACCAACATACGACTTATGAGTGAAATCTGGATGATATTTGTTGGGAAGAATTGTAACCAACTGTCGCAAAATGACGACATGGGTGGCACATGTCAGATTGCTCGCACAAGCCGGCCCTGTTTGGGAGTAAAATATTACAACAATTAAACTTTGGATAGAACTTGTATTACAATGATGATGACACGCATACATTAATCACCAGTGACCAAGCACCAAAAGCTGACAAGGTATTTCAGACAAGAAAGATATCTTCGACCGCAAGATGGCCAGCTTCATTTTTCTTCTAAATTCAACCCGCATTCCAAACTTTAAATGCTAAGAAGAAAAGATGTGAAAGACTAAGGTAATAACGGGAGTCATATTAACGCGACGAGTCATATGATAAGTGGATGAGTAGGATGACTCAAATATCCTCCGCGTACGCCATACAATGGAATGTTCTCAGACAGATCAGGAACAGGTCGCGACACGTTGCACATCACCTGAGCAGAAGAGGTCAGATCATCTACCAGCATCGAATAGAGTCCACTTCTTGACCTACTAAGACAATGTTTTGATCAAGTTTATGGAAGAGTTGACAACTGATAAAATAATGAAACAACTCTGAACAGAAAAAAAATTGGAGATAAACCAAGTAGCAACAGAAATAGCAAGGTTTAGAACAAATCGCAGAAGCTCCTGCCGACCAACATTGCTGGTACAACGCGAGATAAGCTTTAGCCCCCAGGGAAGTTAGAAAGAACTTCGTTACAACCAACACCTTAAGAAGGTGACACCTTACACCCTGCGTGACAACCCACGACGTAGTAATATGGTTAAGTTTGGGCTGATTTCCCATTCTTTCCAAACGCTATGAGATTTTCAGATTTTCAGATACAAAGCAGTCTGACAACGATGAAATAGACCCTACTAGCCACAGAAAGGGCTCAAAAGTTAAGACCCATCACAAGTGCAAATAAAATCAAGATTTGAATGAAATCATAGAAGCTCCTGACGATCAAGACTTGGCAGGTAAGAGGAGAATTCGGCTTCAGCCGCCGTGAAAGTAACGATTAACTCCGATGCAACCATAACCTCAAGAAGGGGAAAGACCACAAACCCTGCGTAACATCCGAGGACGTAGTTTTCTGGTTAATGTCTTCATACCATCTCTGAGCTATTAGTTATTAAAGAACGTCTAGAGACAATGACGGGTAGGTAACGCCCACGTCATGCGTGATTAGACAACAAATATGTGCAAAACAACTGCAATTTGATCTGGGAAGCATATATTTCAATTGACCTGATTAATATCTTCATGCCCTAAAAACAAAAACTCCTCCACCTCAGGCAATAATCTGAGATAAGAAGAAACAAACTCTAGAGACCCTCCCTTCACTCGAATATCACCAACAATCGGAATCTTAACTCCTGTCAGCAGTGAAAGGCCACCCGAAGAAGTACTGAGAAGCCACAGTACAAGTCATCTCGTGAGGTTTGTTGCGTAGCTTGCGCAAAGATAAGAAAGAGAACAAGCAAATGATTTGAAGATGAAGGTGATATTCTACATCCACATAGTGTTGGGGCATCATGACAGCAAAAGATTCCAACTATTAGCGAAGGAGGGATTTGCAACAAAACCTTTAAGAGTGCAATCGTACAATGTACGGAATACCTCCGAAGCCACGGTAAAGGTACGTTGCCCAAATAGGTAGAGAAGCGCACAGAGGACAACGAGTTGCTCACATGCTAACATCTCCCATTCAAATAAGTAACACCTTCGGCATATCTCGCCAGTTACAGCAGTTCTTTTGATCAGTAATCACAAGCGCTTAAATTCAAATACGAGGCGAAGACATTATACCATACAGAGATTAATCGCATGACCAAGAACTCAGTAAAATGAAAACGTTTGGAAGAAAGATATTCTCTTACTACCATTACAAAATGCGTTAGCGACTCTCAAGGCTCATCTGGTTTCACAGCTCAAGATGAATACTCCTGCACAGTTTACCGAACGTGATTTACGATCAGGTGTAAATTTTAATTCCCTAAAGCCATGTGGTGGTATTAGTATTTTCAGAGGTTATTATGGCATTGATAATCGCCGAAGTTCAAAGTCATTTACTTGCTCACGATATCAAGTTTTGACTACGATCATCATATTGCAAAGTTTAATTCGCAGATATTTATTTCCCCTTTATTTGAAGAGTGTCAGACCTGTCTTGGAAATTTGGAAAGTTCATTGAACTAAGTACAGAACACACACTTTTCTAGTTCAGTGAACTTTCCAAATTTCGTGTCACAATCTCCTTAGGTGAAGGCGTACGCTTCAATCATTATCATTTGCACTATTGTCCGGACAACCTCAAAATCGCTAATCAAACTGGGAATATATGACAAACCAGTTATCGCTGTACGGATGACGAGATTGGGTTGGTTAGAAGTTTCACATTCACTATTTCTCCGGTGAGAGTCTAGACGTGGTATGCCCAGCAATATAGGCAAAAACTCAAAATCTTACACTACCGTACAGTTGGAACAAATTTTAGTATGTAATATCTGAGAATTGACCGCTCATGTTCAGACCTTCCCTTCAAGTCCATCCACCACGTGTTGGGGTGACTGTAGGCTTATTTCGCTGCTTGCTGAAGTATTAAGAACGAGCTTCTAGGTAAAATCTCCCTCCATTATTCCCGCCTGCCTTTCCTGATCAGCAATGATGTCATTACAGTTTGATACAAGTGTGTGGCGTTTCAAATTGTACAGAACAATTTGAAACGGCAAGAACTTAAACCTGTGTACAGATTCACACGTATGGGACAGCAGATTTTGTCGGTGAAATTTACCAACACAGTGCTACGCAAAGAACATTCCGTTTTCTATATTCCTTACCGACGAACTGAGCTAATCCTTCCTCAAAGCAGAGTATTTCACATTGTCAGAGGTTGTATTGAAGAAATCTTCGTAAACTTCAACGAAATTTGGGTAAAATGACCAAGATTCGTGCCGAACAGTGACAATTTCGCTTAGAGGTCTATTACAGGGAACATTACCGCACAATCACGATGACTACGTCTGACGACCAACTTAGAATTAAATCGATCCAAACGAAGTGTACGCTCTGCACATCACATGATTCATAATTTCAATAAGTAGTTCTAGCAAATAAACGTTGTAATTGAAGTTTCCATGAGTAGAATCATACAAACTTCAAGCTGCCCATGTCAAAACCAGATCATTTAGTATCATACACTTTACAATTAACGCGTTGTAAAATCTCTTTCTCTCCAACCCGTCTATTTACCGGTAAGAACAATTCTCATCTTGAAGGAAAAAACAATCATATATTGCCACGATCCAAATGAAGTGAAAAACTAGTATCAGTAAGAAAGACAAGTTAGCACTATATTTCTCCTAATACTGACCCAAAGTACAAAAAAATAGTGTGTCCTTTAACCCGAACGTTCTACATAAAAATCCATCGAATGGTCAGATACATATACTTCGGGTTTGTGCGAAAGTAGAGTGTATATCAAAACCATCGCACATAAACTCCACCCTGCCAACAGCCAGAGTTCGAGATCCAATTTTGTAGTTATACAACTCGTAAATAGCTCTACAGATTTAAAAGTTTGGCATCTAAGCCTAAAACAGCCTGGAGGTACATAATATGTTCCGGAGTCAAAGGAATGGAGGAGGATGCTAATATATCTACATTCAGCCTAACTACCTCCCTCTCTTAAACAACAAAATTATCTTCCTACTACACCCCACCTTAAAGGAGAATCCTCTCGCAACACAACACTAGAGAGTCCCTTCAAGAGCACGAGTAAATTGTCTAACTCGTACACATTACACACAAGCTGCAATAGTAACCAGCAGATCTACATTTGAAAGCCAATTGCTGAAGAGAGAAGCAGCATGTCAAATTCGAAACCTGACACTATCCGACGAGACATCTTCATTCGCTCCAAATCTCCAAACTGTCTCTCGTGCGTTTCTCCCATCATAGATATATCCTTCCATTAGATTCCACCAATCAACTCCAGACTAACACTGAGTGGAAAATCTGCTCTTTATAGGTGTAGAAAAAGCTCCTAGGAAGAGAATGCAGGGAGATAATCCAACGCATAGCTACAGTGATAAAGGAAGCTCAACTCCAGTCTGCCCTCCAAGCTTGCCAACAACAAGTAGCAGAACACTTCGGGCACAACCTTAAGGGTACACCATTTACCCCTTCACGACCCACACCAACAGCACTGCACTTTCCAACAGCGGTTCAACAAACCTCTCTCCCACAGGTGAGGATCCAGACTGACTCTTCAATATCGGCAGAAGTTGTGGTGCGCACATAGAGAAAACTGAAATGAATGTGATGCATATCTCAACATTCCGAAAACATCACAGCTTCCATCCGCTTTCCTTCAAAGCACAAAGCACGACCTTCTAGTTACACTGCTTCACCGCCCCCAGCTGCATAAACCTTCATCAAAAACTGCTTCCCCAATAATTGAAAAGCCAATAACAGAGATACGGGATTTGAGTGCTGGCAACATATCACCGCGATGCAATAGTAAATCTCCGATTTCTCGTCCAAGTGATGTCTTGAAGCACTCCTCAGGATACTGAGATACTCCATTCTTCACTTTTCGAAAAAATAACTATAACTTTATCTAAGTGATAAAGGTGATAAGCTGCACATCGTGAAGTCTATTTAAAGACTACCTCCACTGCCATTCAAAACTGATCATCTCCTCAACGATCTGAGATTATCATGTACGATTCAGAAACTTCAGCAACATTGAGATGAGAAAGCACTCGTCATACTATGTCAACGCAAGCGTCGTCCGGCCAAGTCTTCCCAAGACTATGCTCCTACCGGCCGCGCGAGATGCTAAGATGAGTTGCTAGGATACTGAAACTCAAAGAGTCGTATCCGAACCTTAGAAGAACAGAGTGAAATAGTTTTGCTGTAAAAGTCGCCCAGACGATTTAACGAACATCAGGAATTATTTTACTCCTCCCCGCACCTATCTGCCATAGGAATTACGTCCACAGCTTCATGTTGATAGATTCCACGAAATATCTCTGAGATCATAACCTTCACTTATGCAATCTTCCATCTTTCTATCAGCTTATGTATCAACTCAGATCCCAAGCCCACGCCGAAATTCCTCTGAACAATCCTAACAACATCGTATTGTTTGTCTCCCACTACTAACATGCCCACTACTACTCAATACTCGGCCGCACAACCGAGGACACCGATAAACAAAGACGACAAGCTTCCGTCGGTAGTGATTGCAAACCACAATAAATGTGTGGCACAACCTCATCGAAGTCTTCACTTCCCGACCGCAATCGATGATGACGGCGCTGGTGAGCTTGGGTGCAACTCGCCGTATCGCCTTGAGTACTACACTTGCTACGACACTCCCCATACGAGTCTCGGAAGCACACGAAAAAACGCCGACTTTGTCAATAACAGGAAGCCGAGGTTTGTTGGATTACATCATTTAGATCTACATATTACCTTGCGAAAAGGAAAAGACAAGGAGTTCAAGAAATTAAAGTTATCACTTACACAACTTCTGTCTAATCAATTGAAGCCATAACCTCCTCCCTCCACGCAAAATGCTGAGTGCACATTGGGTAGACAGAGAGTGTGAAAGACGAAGCCATTTCCGCATCCAGAGGGTAGCAGAGATCATCGAATATGAGATAATCGAATGCACGGCTCAAGCATGACAGTATCCAATCACAAGTGAGTAGATTCACCTCACTTGTGCTTCAAACAAAGCGATTTCTAGATCATCGCTCTCACGCACTACTTCAGGGTTTGCCTTCAAAGGCGGCACTCTCCCAACGGAGCGACCACCAAGCTCCTGAGCCCGTTATCTCGATCTGTGATTCTTGCAAGAGTCTCCATTTACGCTATCTGTGAAAGGAGCTTGCCTTCACACATACCAGACAACTCCGACATAGAGAGACCCGAGTGTTATCGTTCTCAAATCTCCCAATTCCGAGAGCTACCATCCATCCGCCTCGACCTTCGGGTTGCTGCATGTTGTCTCCAAGATGGTTCCAACTTTCGCATGGCTGGGGACACGGCAACCATCATAACCAGTATCTCGAAAGGTTCGACAGTTGAACGACATTCCTCGTCCAAACTTCCCCATCCAGAAACGCATACTGTCAACAATGTGAAGCGGAAGATAGCCCATACCTGCCCATCATGATGGACTTCGTAATGAACCCTCTCTTCTTGCCACGTTGCAGACCTTCCAGAGGTCGAAACCGGCAATGAAGAACATAACGAGAAAGCCCAAATCTTTGCGACATGCTTGGAAAGGGCAGAGGCATTCACACCCACAAGCATACCTCCGAAATCACCTAGGAGATATAGAAGTCAAATAACAGATCAGCCAAGCTCAGTTGAGACTGTTCTTCCTTATTGCCAATGCTCGTACTGATATCATGCACAACCCCACGACAATCTAATCCTCATCTGCCCACCACTCTTTCGCGTGTTATTAACCCACCTTCAACATCCCTTTCCAGCCGGTTCACAGTGAGAAACATCTGGTGCGGCTGGGGTTTCTCCACAGTATCAGCCGAACCCAATCCAGCGCCTGCTTCACAGGAACAATCCTACTCCATTGTTCAACGTAAACATTCAGGCAACAGTATCAATCTGGGCAAGATACTCGCCTCCAGCTTATTGGACCGCAGGCCAACTTTCCAGCCCTTCTACATCCTAGAAGGCGGGAGTTGACCATCTTCATACTCCAGATGTTCGAGCAGCTTACTCAAAGGCAATCGTTAAAAACCAACTCTCCACATCAATCCCCCCAAACGAGGCCGTCATGTAAGGAAGTGTACGGCTTGTAAGGGGTGCTAAGGCCTTGGAAAATGGCAGAGATTTGCATACTTCGAGGTAACTGGCACAATCCTTCAAATAAATTTAAAAGAGGATCAGACTGGTGCAACAGGAAGCGAAGATCGTTGAAGAGCAGCAATCCTCTGTCAGCCCGATTACAACACCCAAAGCTGGTGAGCTTGTTGAGAGATCGGAAGACCGCCCATCACCTGCAGAGACGCATGGTGATGCATGCCAGAGAACTCACAAGAAATGATGACACAAAAAGTCTCTGTCAAGAGGTCGTTCCACGACTGCTGACTGAGCAAGTTTACTCAGACAGCACGCTAAACTGATCCTCTACAGATTTTTATGGATTGAGTTGGTGAGACACCAAACCAGTTCTGCTTGCAACTCATGTTGCAACAAACTGAGATGGTCTTCTTCTGACACGAAGTCATCTACCTCCACTCCTGTTGAGCTGTGAAGCTGCTGAAGTTTTTTACTGTTTCCAGTTTAAGCTCGTCTTCGTCTTCTCCGACTGCTCCGCACTCCAGCAAGATGGTGTTCTTGAAAAGCAGTGGTGAGCGCCCAAAGCATTCAAACTATGTTTGGCCAAGGTGCTAGAGTCTTTGTTCGACCACCGATGGTGATGACACGTCGACAACAAGCTCAGCCTCGTTGCAGCATATGCCGCAACAGACCTGGCAAGTGGCAATGTTGCGACCTGCAAAAACTTTTCCACTGTGACCTTCGGGGAACTCCTTTGGAATGGCACGTGCCCTCCATTGATCACAACCAAGTGATGTATGAGACTGGAAAAAGTACAGCATAAATGTATAAAAAACACCCTGATAGAAATCATGAGGTAGTATCATCCCTTGGCTCGCGATGCCATCGCTCCGAGAAGCGCCAGGCCCAGTCAGGGTTCAGCTGATCTGCTGTTCGGAAGATGGCCTCAGAATTTGGTCCAAAAGGGGTAAGGCGTGATCTGTAGTGTACACCCGAATGATGCAACAGGTTAAAGAGAATGGTGAAACGCTAGCCACCATCCAACATCACAGTCATTACTTCTCCGAAGCCAACGATGACCAAAATAAAGCCCGGGTTGTAAGTTGTGGATTTGACTTCCTACCTGTGCGAATTCTGCTCATCTCGCACAAGTGTAAGTTTGGGGGATGATTGGAAATCTGGGGTGCTGCAATTACATCATACAAATAGTAACCTCCGACCACAACAGGTAGCTGAGTAACTACCGTCCACACTGCGCGATCTCTGTACTTGGTCTGCAAGCTTCGTGCGATACATGACTCCATAGGTCCTACACTTCTCAGTTCTTGGTCTCTTCCTGCAGAGGAAACGATAACACCATCCACCTTCCACGTACACCTCCTCCGTCATGGCAGACAAATGCATCACAAAAGGTACCCGCAAGAACACCAATTGTAATCATCCACTCACCGAAAGCTTTAACTGAAAGCCGATCTATGACCCATCTATGACCGTCAACAAAGTTTGGAAATATCGAGACATCGGACTCACTTCCTCCATGCCATGTCTTCAAACTCATCCTCCAGCATATCTCCGAAACATTTCCATGCTCCTTGGTTCCCATCCTCGGTCACTACATACACAAGCATGAAACCTGAAAGCCATTCCATGATAAACACTGAAGGCGACTACCATGCTTTCACTCCCACACCTCGTGACGAATTCCATTCTAGTGACCCCGAACCTAACAGTCCGAGCGCTTATGCCCACAACCTAGAGTACATCCGATCAATCCTCTAACGAAGAACGACTGCTCGAATGCACGAACGAGAGAAACTCAGGAGAGATGAAAGATTGAATCTGTTTGTAGAGGCGATCGAGATCGGTGCACCCTCGAGATCCTTGCGGCCCGCGTCCCGCCAGCTCTCGCTCGAGCTCCTCCGCCTGAGAGAAAGTTGCTAAGAGATCATCAGATGAATGAGTTTCTGCACACCGCGCTCGGTATATAAAGGATGGAGGAGCCCGAAGGCCTTGGGTGCCTTCGAGTCCAAGCTGTAAACATGACATAACTTTACTTGGAAGTTTCACCTCCAGATCTTTCGCAAGAAAAACTGCTCCTTCCCTGCTGACTCAGTCCGTCCGATTCAGCATCCGACGATCTCGAACGTTCCGATATCTTTTGCCTAGTCAGCAAGGACCGACTCTTCACCTGCTTTGTGCTTGGCAACTGTGAAGTTTCTTGTACACAAGTCCTTATACCGAAGGACTTATCTTTAGCGGCTAACCTACCCTACATAAATTTCGAGACGCGGTGAAGACCTTGCACATCAATTGACGATTAACTACCGAGAAAATTCCCGGACAGCTCTGACCTCTTATCCACGGTGTCACCGATCTCGATGGAAATCCTTTACACTGACACTAACCTATTGATAAAGTTCTCTAATATGAGTACCTTTTCCACACTTGGTAATCTTCACGGGATCTGCGCCATGTGGGTTAGTTCAAGGAGTGCCAAGACACGAAATATGCTGTAGGCATATATCTTGTTCACACATATCCACAATTGATACTCTATGATAAAAATAATATACCAAAAAGGATCAGAAGAACCATCAACTGAGGGAACTACTTGATGGGAATACCCATCATGGAAGAAAACTAGACGGTGACTTGGGGCTAGCCCCGGTAGCATTACAATGGTAAGCAGGGACTTTCTTGTATTGCTTGCGATGCACTGACAGCTAATAAAACCGTGCAAGTCAAAGCATCATTATTTACCACTTCCCATCTATCTAAACATAATCGGAGGCAAACTAAATTGGACCTGTATAGACAACATGTGCTTTTGTACAGAAGTTTTAAAACTTGAATAGTCTCCTCTCCGCATAATTCCGTGCAGTAAATATTAAAGATCGAAGAAAGAAAGCAATGAGTCCGGAGAGTTTTATTTCTTTCCAAACGAGAGGCACATGGAAGTTCCATGTGCCTCTCGTTCAATTGATTTCTGATGGTGCTCCCTCCCTCTCTTGCTAACCTCCTTGGAATCTTTGGTTCACGAACGTTATGCCACGTGTAGTTATTCCTCCTTTTCTTGTGCCGTACAATAGATGCCCAATTGCTTTACACAGGCGCCAGATATTAGTTTATGTGAGGACTGTTGACAGCTATTGACGTGAAAGATCTGGACGGTCAACACGCTTATTACGCTGACACAGTGAAATGTGCACTATCATAGGGTCCATTTCACGGTTCAAGGCGTGACGGCCCCGGCACAAGGACCGAGAAATCCGAAGTCGTGATCTACTGTATACTTGTGAACTCAGCAAAGATAATGAAATACTATGAAAAAGGATAGGAAGACTCATCCTCTCAGCTACATTACAAAATGGAATCCCTCAGTCAAACGGTAATTAGATGAATCCAAAATTTTCACTTTCTCGAACTGCAATTTTAAACTGCAACACTGAGCTAAAGATGAACTATGCATTTAGAATGCATATAGCTCAAATCTCCAATATTTTTTGCGGGATTGTTAATATATGGTTGGTATCATTTACTGCTTTTCATGAAGCAATGGAAAGTTGGGCCAAAAATATCCTATGTAAAGTACTACACAATGTGATATATCATGCTGCACCATAGTAAACTCCCTCTCATATTTCCCCACATGTTGAAGTAGTTAATAAAAAATTCATAACTTTGAATCAAAAGTAGAAAAGATGTTACCTTATCAAAGTTTTTGCTAATAATCTACAAACAAGTGTACTGATTTATAGGCCTCATACATCAAAGATTACTACAAATTGTTTTTTAAATCTTATAGTATGAAATCAAGAGGTAAGAATGTTCAAAATTCATTAATATAACTAAACAATGTTTATCTGTCTACTATCTTAAGGTATCCAAACTATTCAAAATAAAATGTCTAATATTTATCCAAATATATTTAAAAATAAAATTTTTGTAAAAATTTTAAACTTTGCATTTTTATATCAATTTAATTTATAAATGGAAAATGAATTGAAATTGCTCTTTAATTAATAATTAAATATCTTTACTTTTAATATGAGAACCATTGACTCAAATGTAGTTGCAAGCTAACTTAATCAATCAAAAATCATCCAATTACATGTTTCATATGAGAGATACATACTTTTTAATCATAACGAACAATACATCCAAAGTGACATTATGGTAATAATTATATTAAAATTCACATACGCAATAAGCCTTATGAATACATCAAAATTAAACCATAATTATCATTGATAAAGATGAATGTAGATAGATGAAATCTATAACAAAAATCAGAATTACTTAACAAGAGTTAAAATATATCCCAACATGATTTAACTAGAATCAATAAGTCTAAGTTATTATACAACTGTAAACTCAAACATTTTTTATAGCTAATAAAAATTTAAATCATATTCATGACTCTTTAAATTTTTTAACATGAAAATAAAAACAATACTTTCATATAAGGAAAAAAATTCAGATCTAATAGAAAAACTAGACAAATTTCCATACTTATTTAAACGGTTTAACACGTGAAATTATAAAACATTTAAATTGAAAATATTCACCAAGAATTTTATAGGAGATTTTTTTTTTGATGACAACAACTAAATTAAAAATTAACATAAATTAAAATTTTTTTGTAAAGATAGTGATTTTTTAAAAAATTTGCTAAAAATTAAAATTTTAAAATAATTTCGATATAAATAGTGAAATTTACATTGAGTTATTTTAATATTTATATCATATAAAATAAAATTTATCAGCTGATTTATTTGTGTTTAAATCTTCTTGTTATTTTTTGATTTGTTTTTAATATCAATACATGTTATTTTCTGGACCTACTGCTGTTTTTTTATCTATCTTTCTTATTTATATTTTAGTAAAATCAGGTTGGTTCTTTGCACCTAGTTTTGATGTAGCTGCAATTTTTAGATTTAATCTTTATTTTCCAAGTCTTTCATAACTAGACTTTAAACCCATTTCATATGATGGTTGTATTGAGTTTTAGGTGCTGCTCTTTTAGGCTCAATTCAATAGATATTATTTAATAATGAATATATCGAATAAAAAATTAAAAAAATCAATTTTCTTATGTTGACTACATCCTCAGTTAATCATTAATCCAAAAAATGATTTTGAAAAAAAATATAAGTACTCAAAAAATATTATCTTGTATAACAGGTTTATTTTTTGGATATTTCATATTAATCTAGGAAAAAAATCTGTGATGTGATTCATACACAAGTACTCATTCAATAAATGGTTGACTTGATAATGATTTCTTAATTGGTGGCATCATATTGGTAGCATGAATACTTTTATATTAAATTTTAGTTTTCAATAAACTATGAATAAAAAATGAAGGTCGTATTATGATTATTAAAGGTGCAGAATTTTAACATCTGAAAATTAAAACTAGGTTAGATTTATTCTGCATAAGAAGGATGGATTACATCTAAATGAAATAAAATGATTTAATTTTTCAGCCCTTTGTAACTCATATTACATTAAGATTTATTATCAACTGTACATTTCTGAAAACTTCAAAAAAAGTACAGAGAATACAAAATTTTAATTAAATGTATTAGATTCAACATATTTTTTATGCTAAAATAATTATATCACTTTTTTTTCTGAACATAAATTACTTTTTCCAAAGTATGCAACTTATATATAAGCCAATTTATTACACTTTTTTCACAATGCGCATTGACTTCTTCATAAATATATCATTTGTGTTCATTTGATCTCAAATATATGTCTTTTCGATTGTCCAATCTAGAGATTGATTTTTTTCTGAAGCAAACAACAAACAGACTTATTATGTACAAAAAAAGTAAAAAGAATCTTCCAATCACTGATAATCAATAATCTGAGAAATGAGTTCAAATTTTTTAATAATGGAAGGATTCTGAATTACATTTTTATTTATGACTTTTGACAAAATTATCAGTTGCAACGGTTTATTCAATTCAAACTGAGCTTAAGCATAGTTCAGTCCAAGACTGCATGGTTGATCTGCACATGCATATGTATTTTTTAGTAGAATCATCATGTGCTTTTTTTTATCAACTCATTGTAAATAATATTGTTATTATCAAGATTTGTCATGATTGTAGTAATATTCATGATAAAAACTGTAAATTTGTCAATGTGTTATTACATTTTGATCATATGTAATTTTATCTTCATGCTCATAGATTTAAGGGAATTTGTAAAGTATTTGATTATTAAATTCTAAAGAAGTAACTCAGAAAATAATGAATAACTCTTGAAATTTTTCAATTGCATACAATTATGGATCTAGCATTTTCTACTGAGTCATCTTTTGTATGTCATTCTCAAAGGTTTTTGTCTTAACAATGTACTTCAATTTTTGTTACCACAAGGTATAATCATAGCATCTGTAATCCTTAGCAATGTAAATTCTTGCACCTCAACTAGTTTAAATGACCATTTTTTTGGTATGATCTCCAAGTTATTCTTTATGTCTTTGGTTTGAAATGAAACCTCCATACTTCTTACAGTCCATACATATGAAAAATATAAAACATGACCGAGGACTAATCTCTAATCACACTAAGCAAGCTATTTTAGAGAGATGACATAGCAAAGCTTGATATCACTTGCATAATAATAAGTAATATCAAACTTTGCTATCACTTTGTATTATGCAACTAACGTTGGAAGAGAAATAGTTGAATTGATAAACATATCAAATTTCCACTCACGTGAGTGTATACTGTCTCAACATTACCCGTGACAATTCTAAACTCTTGCTCGTCAAACTCTGTCACCCACACACGTTATAATTAACAGCCTCTTGCATATCGCATCATAAAATATCTTCATGATTAACACGCTCATCAAATCAATCCGCGGATATGGAAGCAATTGATCACTTGAAACATTCTCCTTACATGAAGGTCTGGGTTGTTTCTAAGACTCAAAACTATTCCTACTGAGATATACTCAAACAAAAATCAGGCATATATATTCATCCCGAAATCTGGAACATACTTAAGGCTCTTTACATCTTCTAGTCTCAAATTTTTCCTTGAAGCTTTCACATTAATTCAAATTAACAAAACTTGAGCATTGGCAGATTCTGTTATCTAAACAGATTGATGAACTGTCAAAAGTCTACCAAATCTATGGAATGCGTGTATCAAGTTCGCTTCCTCATGCACATGTTTTGGATCCAACCCTTGAATATGAATAGCGCTTGACGGCTGTACATGACTTGTGACAAGTTTTACATAATCTATAACTGAAGCTACAGCTCCATTAAAAACTACGAAACCATTTGTTGGAAGACCTGGCATGATGTTATGTGAAGTTCACAGTGCAGTTTTCCAATGCAAGAAAAGATCTGGAAATTGTGCTTTAATCACATGGTCAGACTTGAAGCAAATCTCTTGAGCGGCAGCCAACAACGTATCTTTGACACATTCCAGTTCAATACTTGCTAAGTGCAAATAACCATTTTGTCATCGTAACATAATTCAAATCCTAGCAGTAGTAGAGTTCTAACATTGCAATTGTGATAGCTACATCTAGAAAAATAGAACATTCAAAATTATTTACAATTTTGTAAATATTTTCCCAGACATTTGTTTGGGAAAAATTTAATGTACCAAAACTAAATACAATCCATCATCTCATACAACCTAGGAATAATCCTCACTAGTTGATTGTTCATCGACAAGAGAGTATGTTATATTTCAAATAATCGATGGTAGGTGTGGAAATTAAATTTAAATCCTAGAGATAATGATCATCAACCACGTATTGCAATCAATAGATATTGTGTAAAAGAAATTTCATTCTAGTTTAAAGATAATATGTGATCGGAAAGTAGGTATTTAACTGTAGACATGAAGAAAGGGATAGCAAAATACTCTATATCTATGTAACATAGATAATTAATTTCATAATGAATATTTTGTTCTACGTTGTGCATTGTAATTAGTTAAATAAATATATATCGTTCTATAGATAACACTTTCAATCACCGTACACATTTAATGATTCAGAGTCCAAAACATTTTAGCTATATATTCTGGTTTTCTTCAGAGAATACTACCTCCATATTTGTTTTCTTCATTGGGCTTGATGGGTCTTGATTTTTCTACTGGGAATCGTTTGCTCGATGCGGTCCCATGCACGGGTATAGTCGTGAGAGTAAAAGGTGCTGCTCGTGCAAAGCCATGCAGGCCAAGTGTTCTCATGAGCTTGGAGCTCGAAGCTGATCCGCAGGTCGACGTCTGAGCATCGGACAGGTTGCACTGAATCCAATCGAAGCCATCGACCAGTTGTCGTCGCGGACCCGAGACACAATGTTTGCAACTTTGCACCAAATGAGCACTCCGAACCTTTGTCCTCGAAGCGTCTCGCTCGTGTCTCTCCCCAGTCTCACCGTTGTCTTCTGAAGCTCGACTGACCTCCTCCTATTCCGACGTTGGCCGACCAGAAGCAGCAGCAGCAGCCGTTTATGGCTTCATCTCACCAGCCCAAAACCGTATCATGGAACACGCCGACTTTAAGTGAGGACGATCCGATGCCGAGTACACCGGATGCTCATGCTTCTGAGATACCCTCCACAACCGGGCTCTGTGCTCGGGAAGTCACGGCCAATGCAAACAGCCAGGCCGCTAAGAACATTGCAGAAGTCAAGCACACAGTTGACGAGTTGATGGGTTCGCAGAGGGTAAATTTCAGGATCAAGTTCGCCTAGTTTCACCGTCGATTTGTGCAGATTTGTGGAAGTTGATAGCTGTAAGAATTTGTATATAGTTGTGGAGAATTTTTTGCTGGACCATTTGTTTACATCTTGTGATGACAAAGTGCACGTCTGGACATTGTTTGAATTTCGTGTATTCCATAGTATGCTTGATTGCAATCACCGAACGTGTAGCTTCGAGTGGTAATACATTTGTCAGGCTTCAATCCTGTGACTTCTCACACCTGCATGGTCTCAGCAAGCTTTACGAGATCTGCATGCTAAACTTGTCGGCATAATTTCTCAGACCCAATTATGCATGATTGGCGTAGGATGTATGAACTGAGTCAGTATGACAACACTTAAGTAACATGGTTCAACTTTGTGTTGACAGATGGGGTCGAAGGCCGTAGATCCTTCAAAGCCCAGAAGATTCGTAAGCTTGTAACGATCCAAACATGGTATCATAATCTTGAAACTAGTTTCTCCTTTGCTCAAGCTTCATCATCGTCTCCTGCTCAAGTGTTTATTCAGGTAGAGGTCATCTGTGTAAAGACGAAGATCGGCAAGACAACTTTGCTTCACAGAAGATAGTGAATTTTCAACCTATAGTCCACACACGATTGCCACGTACAGCACCAATCAGCTCTTCAAATTTTCATCTGTTCTCCTCGAATTTATCATGAAGTCTTCTGGGAATGATGCGGAGAGCTTCCTTTCCTGGAGGAACTTGGCCCCGTTACTCTGCTTACCGAGTTACTGTCGAGCACTTGCTTTTCTTCAAGGGTCCTTCTCAGAGCTTTTCAAGCTTTCAATGCAACAGTTTTTCTTAAAGCCTCCTTTGTAATGTATATGGTTAGTTCGGCAATTGGACAACGGAATTGAGCTGTCGGTGATGCAGTGGGGTTCATTGTGCTACTGTACCGGTTATGAGACAAATGAACTAATCTGTTCAGCTCGAGAGCAGCTCTTCGTTGCCATGTACTTCCAAGAATGTCCGTTGTAAAGTCTATCATTGTCAAGCAAATAAAATTGTGCAAATTTTCCACGTATACTTTGATTCATTTTATTTAGTCTTGTATCGCTACCTTTCTCATAGTAAGAGAATAGTCAGCTTTACGCAGATTTACGCTTCGGGAAAATGCACATATATCTTCACACAGGCATTGAACGAACATACAAATGATCACAAGCAGATACATTAAGGTGATTTCTTCGACTTCTCGGTGAAGGATTGGACTCTATGTGAAGAACAACATAGGGGAGACAAATTTCTGCATGTTTACAGCTGCAACGTACACGCATATATCGAAGGAGAAATATCAATGAGTTTCGAAGTTACAACGATCTTAGGATGGTTTACAAGTAGAATTACGATTCTCTCAGGATGATGCTCGTCTTGTTTTTAAAGTGAACGATGTCTCTTGGTGGGACAAGCTTTCAACGTTGCAAAGCCTTCTCGAAAGCATTTCGCAAATCGCATGCAGCTTCACCCAAGGTCGTCATAATCTTGACGAAGGAATTAGATGCTTTCGTAAACAAGCTAAGTTCCACCTTGTACGAAAGTCGAAGACGAGATTCGACGGAGCGCTCTGGAAAACGCACGATTTGGGTAATGAAGGTGAGTCAAAGGTCACTAGATTATGCCAATGGCGCCAAGAGACTGGTGGACGATGAATATTGACGAAGGAATCAGACACTTGTTTGACACACCGAGAGAGCCAATCTTTACCTTCCAAGCGAACGCTGCAAGTAACACGCTTGACAGTGTGGTCCTATCATGGTGTTCCATGCACGACTTTTACAGACACGCGTCCACTCCAGTCTTAAGAAGGAGCGGAAAATCAACATCCTTTTCCATCGTTCCAGCAGCGGCACGTACGATCTGGCGGATTCTCCCTCTTTACAAGCAACGACGCGTCCGCCAGCAGCTCAATGTGGTGGCTGCTTGCTTACCTCACTTTGTACACCAGTGTACACATCATACTCTGCATCCCGCATAATAGGAGGACAGGGACCTAACAGCAATAGCCGTCCAGACTATCGAGGACAGGACAATAGAAGCAAAAGATAGGACTGGAAACATCGTTGAAGCAGGTATTGATTGAGCTGAGTTTAACCCGTGCTTCCAAACTTCTCCGTCTGCGCTCAGATTCATCGGTGTGATCGAGGTTTTCTCGGCGGTTGACTGATTCGTTGTCAGTACAGTTGGATCGAATTGTAGCCGACTAATTTTCCTTGTCGACTACGGACTGTAGACTGGAGACAACGTGATGGAAGGCGTAGACAGTTCGAAGAAGACAATCACTGGCAATAGTAGATATACAGGTCTCCTGGTGATTACCTCATGCGTCACTGCATGTACATCTCGCATCTTGGATCAAATGTAACAAAAAATTGATGTCTTTTGCGTAAACCAGTGGCACCCTCCGGATATATAGAAAGGCGATCATGCCCAGAGAGCAATTTTGCAACATGTAACCTTTGGATATGGTAATAGACCAAGCCCGGGGGACCAAAGGCTGGAAAAACACAATACAAGCGAAAACCGCAAACAATCGCATATATGGAGAATTCTATTCGTGCCATGAATATTTGTTAGTGTATTTTCCAACACAGGCATGCGAAATGCAGATATTCCACTCTCAAATTCGTATAAATATCACGTATGCTTATACAAAGATCAAAGACTACAAAGTCCACATTAACTTCTGAAAACACATTCTTTTATGGTGCATGAATATGTTATAACTAGGGCAACCTCACCTAAAAAGCGAATCTTTTGGAAAGTTAATCAAGTTAAAGAGGGTTGGGAAAGGAAGATACTTTTTGCCTGCTTGCATTTTTATCCATTCCATCTTGATGTAAATATGAAACGTAGAAGAAAACTATGATCATTTTACTCGTACAGTATAGATAAAATACGATACCTTTGTACATTTACTTGTGCAAATCCTAACCTTTGCATTCTCTAAATGCAATTGATCACCTCTCATAAACCTCAGAATGGTATAAATGTATAAAATTTGTGGTCTACATCACCTGCATTTAGCCATAAAAGTGATTTTTTATACTGTAGTTCTGCGTATAATTAAGCACAGTTCGTACTACAACCACCGCATCTCCATGTGCAGACTCTGTACAGATATAATTGTAGGCTTGAAGTTTATTCCGAAGACAGGGCTATGTTACTAGGGATTCTTTTGTATGTACTGTACTATATTATAATATGCTGGGGTAACGGTAAGTATCAGTTTGTACAAAACTGGTCTGTAAAGATGGGAGGTACACCTCGCTACGGTTACATTCATCAACAGCAACGCATAACGGCTTTCACGTATATAACTGTAGAGTTCTTGTAAGATATCATCAAATATCGACCACTTTTTCTCATAGTTGAAGAAACAGCCTACATTATGGACATAAATCAGACCTTCAATTAAGATCAAATCTTCAAGAAATATTTGTTACCAGATCACACGATTGGTTTGGAGACCCGTTACAAGTTTTTGGAATATTATGTACCATACTAGCGTAATTGGCGAATTCCAATTGCGGCAATGTTGCTTCAGATCATCACTTGGATTCCAAGTGGTAGAACTGAAGTATCATGACCACCCTAGTATGGCACATGGACAACAATTAATAAAGCAAAGGCCAGATTCTAGCACAACAATCTGAACAATGCAACTCATCTCTCGACTTTAAAAGTATGATGATGCTCACGCGACAAAGTCACAAGCATTTCAATGAATGCCAAGAATGCTTATTGCAACTAGTATTGCTCGAAGACCTACAAAATCTGTGGCGATCATGTAGTTATCATTGATGAATTTCAAATATCTACATGAAATAATGAAGAGTTATTAGTAATTTCTACTAAGAAATCACCAAATTGTATTAGTATAGCTCTTTTGAGTTATGTAATATGTACTTATTAAGAAGATCATGATATACATACTAAAATTGATGATTACATTACTTTGATTTGACCAAAAAATTATCTAATTCTTATAAAATAAGTGTAAATATCTATCAATAAGTTTGAAAAGTATACTACTACCTATCGGAAGATGCAATCGTTGATGTATGAAAGAATATGTATGAGAGTTATTGAAGTTTTGTAGATTTCAATTTTTGGTTGATAGCATATTAATGTATAAGGTTGAATACAATCCAACATATGACAAGAAGAAAATTTTTAAAGCTAGGTTGGTGATTAATGATTCTACAAAAAAATTATGAATTACAACAAATTTTTTTTCACCTAGAGCAAAATTTACAACAATCTAATTTATATGTTCATTTGTTGCAATATTTAATCTAGTTATGCATTAAATTAGATATAAGTAATTTCATTTTTTCTTATGTATCTTTGGAGTGAAAAACCTACAACAGAAAATCAATTGACTTTGACACTAAAGATCAAATGAATTGATTTGTAGATTTTTGAAATTATTATATTGATTGAAACAAGCTTCATATTGACAAAGTAGAAGACAAAGTTTGATAATTTTATGCGAGCACAAATTTTTTTCATGAAATATGTATAATAATATAAAATATATATAAGAATATTAGTTTTTAATTTTTAATTTTTATTGTAATCATCTATGTGAATGTTTATTTTGACAATCAATTTGATATTAAAAGATGCAAACATTGATTAAAATTTGCATTCGACATGAAAATTTGAATTATTTCAAAGAAATTAAAAAATGATGTTGTTGAAAATATAAGAAAAGAAATATCTATGATAATGTAATGATTAGCACATTTTACGTTTGTTTGACTATTTTAACATGAAAATTTGTAAATAAGTTTGCAGCACAATTCTATTTTTCAACACATCAATGTTATGTTTATGTCATTAGGAAGTGATAGATGTCATCAATTCCATGTGAAAAAACAATGATTGTACTCTTGTACTCGATGGTATGCAAAATACTTGATATTACTTTAGTTAGTCAAGAAAGTACATGTTTGATGAAAAAAAAAGAGCACTGAAAAGTTGTGTAATGATTTATGAGATATCTTTTTAGTTCTAAGGATTATGGTTATTTATTTGATGTAGAATTTCAAATTCTTGTTATGTTACATTGATGCTAATTCTTATGTTTAAAATTACAAGAGCAAATTAATACGAGAATGTAACTATATACTTGATGATGGATATATTAGTTGAAAATCTATTTTTCAAAGATGCATACATCATTTCACAATATAATTCTAATATGTAGTGATAGCAAAGCACCATTTCAATTTATTTAGTTAAACATATTTATATCTAAGGTGAAATTTAAAAATGATATTGTCAATATTTATGATAATTGTTAGCATGCTCTAGATGTTGATGCAAATCAACATAATTTTTTAATTTATATTTGTTACAATTTTTTCATAATAAAGTACAATATAATACATTTGAGAATCTTGTTTTTTCTATTTGATTGTTATTCAAATTTACCTCAGATTTTATTGTTGCTTATCATGATTTTAAATCAAAAGTTGAAATTTGACATGCTTGTGTTCAAACAATAACTTTTCACTCATCACTACAATTTATTGACATTTCAATATGATTTGCAAAATCTATCTTTTATTGATGGATAATACTACCATAAGTATTTTTTCTAAATTTGCTTCACAGTTTCTTCTCTACCTATTTGGATTATTTAATAAATTATAATAATAATTTATGATAATTCTTATTTAATTTACTTTCAATAAGATAAATTTTGATATGTATGATCAATTTTTATTATGTGGCAATATGTTTTTTGCACATTGAAATATCTAGGAAAAAATATTTCTTTTGATTAAATTGACATATCATTGGCTACCTTGAAACTTTTAGAATTTTCATTGTCACTAAGTCAAATTTTAAACTTAGTATAATCAATGAAAATTTTATTACTTAATTTAACAAATCAAAAGTAACAATAGTCAAACTTTTTTTTTTTATTAAAATAAGAATTTTGATATATAATAAAATGGAATTGATCATCTCTATTTTTTAGAAGTATTTCAATCATTCATTGAAATATAGATTATGATAGCTAAACTTAATCATAACTAGCTAAACTTAGTCATGATTAAACTAATCATGGTTTGATCAATTCTACAATCAATTCAGTACAAAAAACTAGAGATATCCACAATACAGGATGAAAAGGAAAAGTCAATAGTATTCTAAATGATTTTTTTTCAGGTTTTTCTGATTGTTGTTTAGATTTATGTCAAATTGTCATTATATCAAAGAGCTCACAAATTTTTTTTTTCAAACAAATTAGGGATTTATGTTTCCGTGAAATTAGCTTGCAATGATAAACTACGTATTTCAGTTTTGTGTCTTATCAAATTTTTTCATGATTTGCCAAAACAAATTTGTGTACTTTCTGAAGAAAAATTTATGAGCTGCGGATTAGAAATTCATGTAGAGATTAAAACAAACACTAAGACAAATGATTTCATGAGGTTGTAATGTTACAAATTAGTTATGTATGATACTACTATATATAAAAGATATGATTTGAAAAAATGAGTAGTTTGATATTATGTGTTGATGAGTTGATTTTTGTGGTTAAAAATAGAACTGACGCAGATAAGCTCATAATTCATTTAAAGCTCAAAACTTGAAGAAAGATTTTAAAATAGCATAAAAATAGCTAAAAAATCTTGTAGATGAATTATGGTAGAATGCTACTTGCAAGATTCAACATAGAAAATTGCAAGACTATAAATATTGATTTCAAATTTTGTATGAAACTCTCATCAACTCTCTGTACGATAAATGATGTAGAGAAAGATTTGATGTTCGACAAAATTTACAACAAGTCAAATGGAAGTTTTATAGAAGTTTTTTGTCTTGATATGTACAAACTAGAAGTTACATGTCAAACATCGATGTCCAAATCGGAGTTCACTCCAACGCACAGTCTACTGGGGCCGAGTCCAGCCCTATCCCGTACAGTCCGACTCGGCCCAGTTGGTGTGGGATGTGATGTGACACCTTGTGCTTTACATGTCAAACATACAAACATAAAAAGAATAAATTGTGAAATGTATTATTGGATTTTTCAAGGTGTATGTTGGATTTTGATTTTATCATTGATGAAAAGTTGTACAATATTAAATCACTTATTGATTACGTCGATGATCACAATGGATAAAATTTGGATCCAAAAAAATCTTCAATTATATATGTATTCATATTTAAAAATGTATGCATAAATGAAAAAATGTAGTGCAAAATTTTTGTAATTTAATCCACTATGAAAGTTGAATTTTATGACAATGTAGATACTAAAGAATTTTACATGTAGTAGCGAATGAATTGATGTACAATGTAATAAAACATAATATACTCAAGTTTCAATTTGTTTGATAGAATGATCAATTATTAAGACTGATTGTATATTTAATTTTGTTTTTATCAAAATGATTCAATTAAAGAATGTATCAAAACATCTTGTCACATGGCAAATTTTGGCAGATTATACTTGCAATTATATAATTTTTTTTATATAAAATTTGTTTTTTAAATTTTCTTTTGGATTTATTTCTAATTTATACAAGTATATGTAGATTTTTATGTCAAATGGAGTTCCAAAATTTTCATCAATATAATTATACCAAGACATAAATTAACAAGAAAGATTATTTGTAATAATCTTAGTAAGTTGTTAAATATACCACATTTTTTACTAAACACGCCGCACACCTCTCTTCCCCACCACTCCAACCTCCTCCGTCACCATCCCTCTCCCTCCCCCACAACATCTATCCCCCACACTTGTGGCCTTGGTGCGGCCTACCTATCTTGCCGTCTCGTAAGGACCTGAGGGAGGCAGAAGGGCACCCTAGAGTCCACCACCCGCCCGCAAGCAAGAACCGCACGGACATAGCCCATCGCCTGCTACTCGCGCGCGGGAAAGCGGGTGAATAATCTAGTCGGACAAGCATGTGTACACACAAAGGGTGTGTGGTGTATTTAGTAAAAAGTATGGTGTATTTAACAATTCCCTCAACTTAAGTCTTGATAAACTCTAATTAGTTAAGTAATAGTTAGTTAAACCAATCACTATGGCTATCATATGGAGGCATATGAGAGGTTTAGTGGAATCTCTCAATGATACTATTGAATCAAGAATTTTCAATAAAACTTATTGTTTTTTCATTAACCTAGCTTTGATAATTTGAATTAGGTGTATTTTGTCTTTTGATTCTCTTTGTATGCTTTGTGCCTTGGCTGAATGAATGTATAGTGGATACTTGAGAATCAACAAAATATACCGTCATATCTGATATATCCATCAGACTGTAAGAAAAATCAAATTTTTTGGATGGCGATATTTGTAGTCAACTTGAGTTTGTTGTTTTCAACAAGCATTGGTAGTACAATCCATACTAATACGATAATGGTAGTTTTTTACTCTTTAAATACTCTTCTAGAATCCAGCTTAGTACAAACTCGTCTTTCAGAAAATTTGGAAAGGTTCTTTTGTAAAATTCATGATGTTTGTCCAAATGCGCTGTTACAATTTTGAAAAAAGGTACAAAATTCATCGTGTCTCTAGACTGAAAGCCCTTCTGGGGAACACGGTATTGGGTTGGGTACTCCAAAAACATCTCCATATCTACTTCGTCTAATCCAAAGCCAAGTTCGGTCCGTTCTTGGACATTTGTCAGGCTGAGGCTGAATAGCTCCACTTAACGCTATCTCATCTGTCCCGCTATTCAGGAATTCGTCTTAAATTGATCCTAAATTCTGAAAGTTCGCAATAATAGCAAGTGCATTCCCAAGGTCAAGGCTTTCCCAAATGGCGGCATATAAGCGGACTCTTCTTCATCTTTATTCAGACCAGCTGGGTGTCGTGGAAGTGTTTGTCTAATAGATGGTGCAGTCTACTTACATTCAACAATCGGTGTGTAATGGAACAGGATGAGTAACTCCGACAGTAACTAACTCTACGATAACTGCCAATCTGATTAGAGCTTCTTGTTTATTGGGCATGTCCCTAAACCTAGGTCAGGAAGCTTGTTACAAATACTATCTCATAGAACCAGCAACAATCTTACTACAATGATGCAGATATGAGCGGTACATGCTTGTCCTACATATTTGCTTCAAAATATATCAACATGTCCAGATTAAGTTGAGACCAGGAAAAGATTTTTCAAGTACTCCGAAGACTTATTAAATATCGGAAGGTTTGGAGTACTCTCATAAAGAAGCACTTCGAAATATCCTTGAATTGTTCGTAAACGCAACATACGGCGCACTGGCTTCGCCTTACATTGTGGTTAATAATACAGTTTATTCCAACAAAGAACAGCAAGGATCCAACAGTTGCATAGATAATTGACAAAGCACTCCACACTCACCAGTATTTCAAACGGTTTCGGCCTCACGACTCACACAGCCAAACTTCTCATAATCTCGACCAGTAAGCAGTCTCAATCAACTGTCAAGGACTACAGGAAGTAATCTGAGCTGACCAGATATATTGCAAAGAAGACCAACTTCTTTCCTTGGCTAATAGATTTCAGGATACACGTAGCCAACCCTGTATCAGCTACTTCTAAAAATGGACAAACGGCCGCCTAACCTACAGCCAATTAACTAACAACTAACGGATGGGCTCACGACATGTTTCTGGAGTTTAACACATCAGAAAGCTGAAACTCTACATCTTACGGAAATACTTATGGAATGCAGCGCCCATGAGCAATGAATTCAGATGTTAACAACTGCAGAGGACTCGAAAAAAGTTTCTTATTGCAAAAAGAGAGCTTTTTGCTTGACGAAGGAAGTTCAGGACTAAACTGAACTAGCTTGAATGGTAATGTACAACAGGCAACATGAGGGGCTATAAATGGCAGGAAGAATATTCACTAAATCAGAGCAAGCATTGCTCTGACCTTGGCCCTGATATCGTCAGGCACATCAACAAGCGTGGAAGGTAATTCTCTCGAGGTTGGCTCTGTTCGAGCATCATTCTGTAACGGAATGACCACCTCATGATGTTTCTCTGATCCTGTTTCTCTGTGCGTCCTGTCATCTGCCTTATCTCGACCGCGAGTGGTGTGTTTTCCACTGTGAGGATGGGTACTGTCAATTTCTAACTCTTGCCGGTGTCTTCTACTCCTCTTATGTACGTGTTTCTCATCACCATTATCTTCACCTCCACTGACGTCACGAAGGTGATCGTCCTTTTGCTTTTTCTTCTTTCCGTGACTGTGTCTTCGATCTTTCCTTCGTTCATCTGACCCGTGTCTATGTTGACTTTCTCTTCTCTCATCTGGATCTTCCCTATGTCTACGGTCATTCTGCTTCTCCTCTGAATCATGGTCATATTCGCTCTCCTTCCTCCTCTCATTGCTGTACTCATGTTTTCCGTCAGGCCTCTTATCCTCCGAACCATTTCTACATCTATGCCTACTACTTCTATACTTCCCTTCTACTTCGTGTCCATGTCCATCGTCATGCCGAGAAATCTCTTCAAACTCATATCCACGTCGCGCTTCTCTCTTACTGTCAGCGTCATGACGGTATCTTCTATCCTTCCTGGATTCTTTCAAGTCCTTCCTCTCTTCTCCTGGAACATCCCTATATTCATCCTCACCGGCCTTCCTTTTCGTGTTATACCCACTTTTGTCCCTGGTTTTTCTCTCACCATCGTGATCACGACCCCTATACTTTTCCTCTTGATTCTGATAATGTCTCCGGTCTCTTCTCCTCTCCGTGTCCGAATCGTCCTTGCTTTCTTTTCTTCTATCGTCTCCATCGTGATAAGACTTTCTTTTCCTGTGATGCTTTCTGTACTTCTCGTCAGCTTCTTTTGACCCGACCTTCCTCTCCTTCCCACTTTCATTTGGGTGTTGCATGTCGTCTTCGACATATGCGTAGGGTACAAGAGCGTCGCCAGTCTGTTCCCTAATTCCAAGAGACTCTTCGTCGCATGTATCTCCAGAAACCTTCATGGTTGCCGGAGTGCTTTGAACTTTATCAGAAACACTGTCCTTGGAGTAGACATCCATGCAAAGACCAGCTTGACTGGATTTCTCCACGCTAGGTGAAGCAGATACTCCATGAGATCCAGACTCCTGCCCACTTTGCAATAAACTTGCAGTTCCCTCTCTTATCATCGCGGCGAAAAGTTTTGCCTTCTTCAGCCTCTCTGCCTTGCGCTTTCCCGAGGGCGAAAGTAGTGCATCCGCTGAGTCGCCCTCTTGTCCAGCAGCTAAAGCGGCTGCTTTAGCGACCACTTTACCAACGACCACAGCGTCACCATCAGAACCAGGATTTATTTCCGAAGTCGAACCCGGCACTCCTAATGCTGAGATGTTGTTTTCTTCATCTTTGACCCCTTCGACAACGTGCTCTGACAACTGATGATTGGCCCCTGTTAATGGAAGGGGTCCTCCTGACGATACAGTGTCAACTTTCCCTGCGGCAGAGGATATTTCAGATTTGGACCACCTTGCGCCACCAGTGACCGCTCTTATAGCTGCCATCACGGCATCATCGGAACCAATCTCGGGATGCTCAAGTTTTTCGGGAAGTCTGGGTTCAGATGCTCCAAGCTCACCATCTTCAACAGCTCGAGAAAGACCACGAGTTGCAGCACGCACGGCTGCCATAACAGCGTCGAAACCCATCCCTCCTATCCCATTATGAGAAATTTCGAGATTTTTCTCCTCGGTCTCAGGGTCTACCACGTCTACATTACTAGAGATATCCAGCACGGCAGACTCGTCCCAGAAAGGCACACCCTTCAGAAAATGATCCTTCACTAGTGCATCTTCTACAGAGCCTCCAGTCGCAAAAGACCCGGTAGACTCGTCGGTCGGTGGTCGGCCTTCAGGCGGAGGTTCAGATGATCCATTGGCCTGCACAACCCCAGTTTGTGCTTGAAACTCTTTCTCCAGTTAAACATTTCTTTATCCTCAACTTCGAAAACAGCACACCGAATCAGAATTTGTGAGAATGTTTCCATTCTCACAAAATTGAAGAGACAATGTCGTAGAGAGAGAAACAATAATAAATTATGCATACCCCTGCGAAACTTTGCAGCAGTGCCCTAAGAGCTCATCTCATGTCGTTGCTCGATATCAAAAAATCATCTAATATGAACAGAAGCTAATGATGTACAAAGATATGAAAGACATAATTACATACACAAAATCCATTGACTTCATTAAAGCTTTCCGGAATTTGAAATTGCAAACCTGCTGTGCAGCTTCCAACGAGCGGGAGAAATAAGGATAATACTCGTTCCAAGGTAAAAGAAACTGGAAACGAGCATCCTTCTTATCTCGCTCCCTAACAATCGCTTCGAATTCCTTTCCATTTCGAGAAATAAATTCCACCATCTTATCAATTATCCGACGTTGCTGCAAAGGTGGCTCTTTGTAGGGGGGGAGATCCTCTTCGGGATATCCAGACCCACCATTGCATTTCTCATATTCGACTTCCATGGGATCAAGTGTTTCTGTTCCTGGAGGAAGTGGTTCAGGCAAACCAGGCCCAACTTCCCCTTTTCCAATTTCTCCCTTCTCCTCTCCCGGAATAACAGCAAGATCGTCAGTCTGAATTCCAGGCGCTTCAACAGCCTTGGTTGGATCATTGGAATCTCCCGAGTCCTTTTCTGATACCTCAGCAGGGGATGAGTTTCCATGGCTAACGTGTTCGCTTTCTTCACTTCGGTCCTGAGAAACATCCGCTCCTTTCGAATCAATATCACCTTCTTCAGATTCCCGTTGGTCGCGTACAACTTCCGTAGCTACATCAGCCTCGTCATCTTCAGAATCACCATACGCAGTTCCTAGCAACGACAAACCCCCCTCAGCTTCTTCGCTGAGTACCTCAACTGCAGCTATTGGTTCGGCATTGAGTCCAATCCCCACATGCTGGGGATTATCAACCAAAAAGCGGAAGTACTCATGATGGTGATGGTCTGGCATCAAGAAGCCGAACGTAGGATTCGAGGCCTGCTTTACTCGAAGAACAATCTCCGCCTGCCCACCATGTTCGATCACAAATTTTGCAGTTCCTGCCATTATTTGATGCACCTTCAAAGATGAGGGCTGCATAACAGTTCACACATCAAAATGCCAGTCAGAAGCATTCCAAAAGTGTTGGACACCCTGTCATGAGGCCCAGTTTTTTGGATCTCAGCCCATGGCAGTTTATTGCTCATAAAGGGGTGAGATGTTCGAGGTTATGTGTGAGTCTAGAGAAGGTGTAAAAATTGCCTAAGACACAGGAAGAACCATTCAAGCCAAGTGCCCGTTACATTGCAGGTAACCCAATGACTGGATTGGTAATCTGAGAAGTTGAGCGCCGTCCGTGACTGACAGCACCAGGGAGCCCTGGACCCTCAAGCCCACCTGCACATTGCCACGAACATCAGCTTCAAGCAAGGAGCCCTCAAAAGGGCACCACAAACTGGTCCCATCTTCGGCAGCAAACCTGTAAACCCAAGGAGGCCTCAACTTGTCAAGAACAAACCAACTCCAGCAGTGTTAGTATTTCAGCGGCCGGTAAAGTTCTGATAGATCACAAGACCACATTGAGGAACTCATGCACTGGTTTCACTGAAGAGCGAAGAGATAACAAAACTTACGAGTTTTGACTGCAAGTGCCCTGGAACAACAAATGGCGGTATAAACGCAATGTCTTCAGTACTCCTATCTCCACTTTCTCCTTGAGCCGACTGATCGCCCCCACTGCGGTAATTAAAAGCAACCCTCTGGTACAGACCGCCAGGTTTGTCCACAAATGCATTCTCGTCATCTGCAGTTGTTTGATGCAAATTAAATATAGGAAGCTCCACTTCTCAGTCCCACTGTCTTTACATAGTGGGATGTCTGGGAAAGGCGATCAAATTTCACAACACAAACCTTTCAGGAACTAAAGCACGGGGAGATCTGGGTAAATGAAGGAATAAAGCCTCTTACTGTTGGCCGAAGTAGAAAGAATGAACTCAAAATGAAATATCTGCCTGCACGCTTGAAAAGGCATGAAGGGTGAGGGTGAGCATGACACGTTCTTACAACATGGATAACTGCAACCTCAAATGTCCTTCAAGATAGCCATCAGGCCCTCTCGCAGTCCAAACCAACCAACCTGGACCTGTCCTCCTCTACGAAATCATTATTCGATGAAACTGAATATAACTGGCACCGTTCGTGCCTCTGATGCTGAGTCAGGCACCGCACGTTACGCTAGTCCATTACACGGAGCCCCTTCCTCCATTAGGACTCTTGTTCATCTTCCCCATATTTTCTCGTTTATTGATAGAAAAGGTGATGACAAGTGAAGGTTCCAACACGCAGCCCTAAACTAAACCTCGAAACCGAGACTGTGAGACCCATAGGTTACAGTATGTGACGATAAACTCTTCATCTGCTTTCCAGGAGATGAAGCTTCATATCTTGTATTCACCATGCATTCTGTGTCAAGCCCTCCAAAGGCCCGAGGCATGAAAATTGGGCAAGTCAACTCTTTCATAGGTTAATACTGAGCTTTAATAGGCGGTTCCTAAGAGCTACGTCGCCAAGGGAAATTGAGATAACTGAAGTAGCCAAAGCCACGATAATTCCCTCCACATACCAAGGAATAGGCCATGGCGATATGGGTCCTTCCTAAATTCCCCATCCCTTCAGCACTTAACTCCCTGGCACTATAACGGACCATCTGATGGCAGTGATAGGGATGTGGTAGACTGACAAAAAGGACGCTTTACACCCAGAACTCAATCGTTTACACGACACATGATCTTGATGAGTAACAGAGAACAAGCTGCTTCCAAACGACAGAATATATGTCTAAAAGGAGTCGTGTAGAAGCAAGCTGCCTGGCCAGTGAGGAAACTTTCGTCACCATAAGAGAACCACGCTTGGATATTGTCAGACATACAACAATACACACGCACTAGTTGGTGACATATGAAGTGTGTAGAACAAGAGTATTATCGGTAGTAAATTCAAGAACACAAAGATACACGAAGGGGAAGAATCCGGTGATAAGAATCTCGTACCCTCGGGAACAGGACTAGGATTTTCCAGACCCTCCAGATCCCTGTATCGCTCATAGTCGAGTTCTTCCTTCGACGCATCCAGGCTCGGGGATGCAGGCCGACGACGGCGCCGACTGCCACTTAAATCTTGAAGCAGATGACGGACGTCGTAACGATCAATCAGCAAAGTTTCATCACCGTTCCAAGGAACCTGAGCCGCTGGCGAATTTACGAAAGCGGCCATTGAATCGTCGTCAAATGATCGATAGTGGACACCGACAACAGCAATTTCATTTTCTGGTTCTTCCTTGACTTTCGGCTGCCACTTCTTCCCCCTACGACCCGTCTCTGCTGGTTTCGGAGTCCCATAGAAACTCTCGTGAAAACTTCTCACACCCAACATCTTGGCACCTTGTGCAGCTCGATCAGGCAAGGTGTGGACTCCTACAGTATGATTGGTATGTCCTTCGATATTATGGATCTGATTTGAGCCATGGATTTTCGATTCTCAATTCGGTAACCGAAAATCTTGCTTGCGCCTAGCATACAGCCCCATACGCAGCAATCTGTGAAAAATACAAACCAGATTATCAAGCGTCCTAAGCACGCAGAAGACTTGCCGAGTCATTAATTGACCAAGTTTCTACGTCCGTCTCGGACTCTCTAAAAACCCTAACTCAGCAAACGGGATCGTTCTGTCCAGATGAATTTTATAGAGAGAAAACATCTACAGTTGGATGAAAGTATGGCCACATCACAATTCCCCACACGGTCTGACCCATCCACATGAAGTGCAGGACGATGCATCTGCCGGGAGGAGGCGATAAAATTGCAAAGCCATCTTCACCCAACACGCCAAAGAATTCAAACACAAGCCCCCAAAAAAAAAACCCAAAAAGGATTTGAGTGCAGACGTTTCCGGACATGCGCTTCGAATGTGGCATGGCGATGAGGAAGAAACAAACTAGAGCACGATGATTGCAAGTGCAGGGCTGGGATGCATACCGTAGGGCTGAAGCGAGTGTCCGCAGCGCAGCTGATTCTCGATCAAACGCTCACACGGAGAACAGAATGTCGTGCATATCCAGCCTGACGTCCAAATAACGACGGCGAATCTTCTGCAGCTCCCACCACTGCGACGGTGAGCTGTATCGATTCCCCGCCCGAAACGATTTGACTACCCGTCTGCTACACCTACTCGGTCATATGTCTAGTACCGTACATGCGAACAAAGTGTGATCGGCCACCTTTAGCAGTGAACTTTTGGAGCGCCATTTCTACAAGGCACCAGATTCAATATCATGCATTCCACACGATAGTGAATAAAATAAAATGTTAATAACACATCCATTTCCCCTAATGAAAGAGAAATCACATCTTATTATTTTGTTGAATACATTTCAGAATACGAATACTGTTAAGATTTTTATTGTGAAATAATTGTATTTATATCATAATGGAAAAAATTGATTTTCTTTCAGCTACATAAATTATTTTTTACTATTAATTACTGATTTTTTTAATTCAATTTACAAATTTATGCATAAATCACTTTAATTTGAATATAATACTTATTTCAAGAATTGTAACTGTTTTAATAACTTAAATCCATATAATGTAACATCAAAAATCTTATTTGAATAACTTCATAATGTGTAAATTACAAATCTGCAATATCGGAATACATGATCATAATATAATTTGTTTTTATTTATAGATATTTTTGTGGTTTGAATATATATATATATTTATTTATTTAAAAATAAATTGTTATTTATTAAATGTTTTAGAAAATTTGTGTTTCTTCTTTCACATTTTTAGTTCTTTTTTTAAATTTATACATATTTGAAGCACAAAAAATTCAAACAAAATTTCATCTAAAATTTTCAATTCATAAGAAATTTTCGTTTTAATAAAAAATAAAATAAAAAATCATCGTAGTGGGCATCAGATGATCATTAATCATCATCTTCAATTTTTTTACTCTAAAAACCTAGAGTTGAAACAAGTGTAGGGTTATTAATATTGAGTCATTGATTTTTTCCATGATTGAAGTTGAGCACATTGTATGCAAAAGAGAGTAAAAGCTAGTCATGGAGTTCTATATTCACTCTTAAACCTATGTAAAAAAGCTCATCTTGTGTCTTGGAATCTAAGTAAATTCTTATTTAAGATTTCAGTGTTGCTTGTGATTTTATATGAAATCACAAGCAAGTGCGGGGCCTTGGTCATAAAAAGAGAGGTTGAGAGTCTTTGGAGAGAGTTCAAAAGATATTTCTTGAAGAAAAATTGAGTGTGAGAAATCAAACTTACTATGTCATTCTACTTTCAGAAACATGTTGTCTTTTTGTCGAGGCTGAAGGTCTTTATTTAACTATCATTTACATTGCGCGGGTGAGATCTCTTGATGTTTATTGACTTCCTTACCAAGATCTACGAGACACACGCTCCAAAGGGTGGTTTTTGTGATGAGGTGGCTTGGTACTCAAAGTGGAATGTGGCGGAACAAGATTGGGACATGTAACTTGTCGCACTTTGCAAACCTTTACGGAAGAAAACTCTCAACATTCTTTGGAACAAACCTAGAACCAAATGGAATTTATCTACTTCATGTTAACACAATAATTTTTTATTGTCAACAAGAATATTTACTTGCAGAGATCTCTACTTTTTAATGTCATATTATTATACGGTATAGAATGTGATCTCATAGTCTAAAGACTGAAGAAATACGTTGGTATAATATTGATAGAAGTTCACGATTTTGTAATTTATATGAAGGTAGAAATATTGAGGACGAAGAGGATTTGTTCGTTAAATGTAATAGATGTTAGAGTTGCTCATGAAGTCCTTGTACATAACACATATTCTTTACTACAGTTTGAAACTTTTGATTTAGACTGTTATTTCACGGATGTTATTTGTCAACTTTCTAGGGCTCTAGGCTCTTGCCACGGGTTCTCTCCTGGGTGGCAAGTGGGTCATTTTAGCCTTTTAACCCATCGGGTCCCACTGGCTTGATGTATTACTATTAGCAGTAATTATCTGAAATTGCTTCGTGATCTATGCGCTAGTTTCCATCTCAACGATCCCTGTGTTCTTTGTTTTACCGTTTCAGGGTATTAACTTAAATGACTTGTACACGATCAAAATTCCACGTGAGTGCAATCGGAGAGAAGTTTCACAGTATCTCACAGTGTTGCACACATGTATCAGGTAGCAAACTTAGTATTAAGAAACATCTTCTAAAATTCTTCCCTCCTCCATTGTATACTGCCATTCTATTCGATGTGTGTGCTTATTAGCTGTTCATGCAGCATTGGCGAAATAACATACAGAAGAAACCGGCACCAGTAGATGGACAAGTCAGTATGCATAATGTATCGTCTTCGTGACAGTAGACGGGTGGGCTCTGATCCACGAATTCAAATGACGTGGTTTAGATCTATTTCCTCGGCTTTTGATAATAAGAAATTCACCGAGTAATACTCGGAGAATATACTCCTTTCAATTCGGAAGCCATTCTAACCAGTAGTGGAGAAAACAGAATAGAGGTGGACCTCTATATAGCCAAGTACAAACGTAACAAATTTTACCCGAGTTGAAGATACCGTTCCCTGACACGTACAAGGTAGAGTGGTTTCCCGTGGGTCCGTCTGACAGAGCTATACTGTAGATACAATATTGGGTGTTCTGACTTGACCTACCCCGCTTGTAGATTTACCAAGTATTCAGGAAAATTCACTGCCACGTAGAAGTACGCATTGTACTGAGAGCTCTATTGCTTCATAAGCGTTCGACTAATTTGATCAGTACATTTGAAATAGCTCGCCATCAAGATAAATTCATTGTGTAATAATCTGAAGCTATGTGCGTCTGCATATAACACTCGAACTAACGTTTCTTGTCAGAAGACACCGCGACATATCCAATCTGATAGCCAAACATAGTCGCACCCAGTCTCTGGTGTATAGCATTTAATTCACTCAGCATGATAAACAATGCACCACAATACAGATCTACTTTCACTGACGAATATGGTAATAAGCAAAATTCTACAGGGAGCATAATCAAACTTGCTACTCAGCAAAAACTGCTCTCCCATAAACTCAATGCTGTATGCTGCAACTGTAAATAACTGCAGCTCCAGCTAGCTGTCATCCGTCTCAGCATCGTTCACTTCTTGACACATGCAGCTGAAGTCCATGCCGTTGAGAGTGCAAAGATAACAAATGACGTTACCTCGACAAATCTCAGAGTGGAGGTTAAGTCGGAAATAAACTTAAAACATTCCCAACGTCTACCTCCCCAACTCAAAATCTCATGTACACAATTCCGAGATACATGCTGGTTCTCAAAATGCCAACGGGCTCCTTGTGATCTACTGTTACTCGTTGAAGGTTCCAAAAGGAGCAATGAAAGCACCAGCAAGATGGTCGGTGAAGAATTCCATGAAGCAATTAGGTAGCGCCACGCGTTAAGTAACTCCACGACCAGCTTTCCACGTGTCCTTTTGTGTCAAGGATAAAGAATTTAATGTTGGTGGCCCTCTAGCTGATTTGAAGGCGAGGTCGTCCCCACCTTGAGATCCACTTGAACTGCTAACAGGGGGCTCACTAGGAGCCTCGGACCGCTTGGGGGGAAAAGTAGCTTGTAGATGCCTTAATATGATTTCAAAGCTGGTGAAAGTAATAACTGCAGCTGGTGTGGTCCGCATCAAATTGGTCGCACATCCACGGTAAAACCCAGCCACGCCTTCATCGGCCGCAATCTTCTTGATACAATCTATAACTCCGGTGTACCTAAGCGTCGCCAGCTTTGAATGCCCTTGCTCTTGCAGCCTAGATCTAACAACCTACAGCACACATTCATAGCCGAAACTCTCAACCTTTAAGCAGACGTAACCGAGGAGCAATACATTTGTCGATAATATAGAGGTAGTATAGATAGACAATATAGAGGCCTAGCCGGTACACACTGACTGATAATTCACTCTTAAGAGATAGCGTGATCTTCATGTATCTATATTCGCGTGGGCACATACACGTGTATGCACAAGAGAGCTGAGAAGAAGATGGTAACAGGCTGTTTAAGATATCTTCCATGGTTACATGTACAAGGGTGTCGTCCTTCGACATTCTCTATATGAGACAGACCATGACCTGTAATATGAACTCTCGTGACAAAACTCTAAAAGGGAAACTTACATTCTTTTTCAAACTAGAGTATTTTTCAAAATGTGAAGAGGGCCGCTGGACATACCTCGTGTGGATAGGTCAGAGTTGATGCAATGACTTTCGAGATAGAGGAGGCAATCGCAATATCACCAGAACTCAGCTTGTCAACAGTTGTCCCAGCTACGACACACATCATTCAAAGAAAGGTGAGATTATAAACCTAGAGGACTTACAATTGACACGGGCATCTATGCTAGCATAGACAACGCAAGAACGAGAGAGAAATGAACCAAAAAGCCTAAACGGAAACTTCCTTCGTACTGGGATGAGTTTCAAACTAAATCCCAGTACGATTTAGTTTGAAATCGTACTGGGATTGCCAAATATAAACCTGCACTTGAGTCAAGACTCACCTTTTTCGGCTAAATAGGTTTTCATCGTTTCATACACAGGAAACTGAATGGCGACATGGCTGATTCCTGCCAGGGCTGGCACAAGTCCACTAAAACATAGCACCAAGCCAACACACATAAATAACTTCAGTCAAACACATCTCACTGGACGAGCCTATGTATCGTACAAAGGGTTGATCAAATCACGAACCATTTTTTATTTGACCATGAAAAACAGCCAATGGGGTGATATGCTCATAAAGAGATAATATTCTCACACTTCTAATGGCGAGCACGGAGTGCTGTTCAATTTCAATGTGGCGTGGTGTTGAGCACCATCCCCCAAGAAACCCTTCTCGGGGGCGGGCTCTTATTATCTCGTGCCTTTGGCGGCCATAGGCACGTAGTGAGCATGGAGCGTATTCGGGAAAAGAGAGGTGCACAGCACTAGACCAGAGGGAAGCGCTTTTATATTGAAAAGATTGAGCTCTCGGACCATGGCGGATAGGAAAAATATAGATTTGTTACTAACGTGTTGCGCGGCTCGGTGACAGCACACTCTTGACTCTGTATGTGGATGCTTATTTTCACACGTGAAAACAGTCTACGACAAGCATTATCGCATTCCGTAAACAATTGGCCATAGAATTACTTCTTAGAGAAAGATGTAGCATCTTAACAGGAGTTGATAAGTCTGGATAACACATTCTAAATTAGACACACAAAGATGTGTTCTCGTTTCTGAAGATGGATTTTCCACGTGCCATTTTTATCTCCAATTATAATTATGGCAACTAGATTCAATTCTCTAAAATAATAAACAAATGAAGCAATTGGAGCATATGCCTGAATAGGCACGCTGGAAGTTCGCACCAAACAAGGAGTCACGTGCAATTCTAGACAAACTCACCTATATAGCCCTCTTATGCCTTCCTCTCGAGCGATTCGACGAAGTGCAGAAAATGTGTTCGTGTATGGAATCAATTCTGGCCTGAGGCGCTGGGTCTGCAACAGGTCAAGTGCAACATCCACGAAAGTTTACCACGTAGAATTCAGCATCAAAGGTACTGCTGAATACTTTAATTATTTTAGGCCTAACAGAATTAACAACAACAAACTGCGCTTCCGTACCTGAAGCCGTGTCTTCACAACCCACAGTGGATTTGTTACCAAACTTGTGGCACAACCTGCACCAGCTGCTGCCAATACATTTCTACCAGGTGGCAGTTTCTCATGACCAGAGCCTGAGCACATGAACGTGGAGAAACATTGATTGGATACTTTACGTTTCGAAGCATGACAGTAGCTGTGGTGATGGCTATATGCAGAACGTGAAGAATTGTGATGATCTCCGAAATACACGCCACCAACCCGGAAAAAGTATTGTTGTAACTTATTCGTTAATTCAAAACTTACCATCACCTTGGCGCAGAAGTCTCTTCAGCTGCTCATAAACAGTAAAGTATACCTACAGGAATAACTGACGAAAATTAGTACTTATGCTAAACAAAATAAAGTTAGAAAATGTAATTATCTCACGAAACACATGTAGTTGAAACTCTAAATGTAGCGAACTGAAATAACGAGCCCAAATATAAACCGTAATGTCATGGTTTCCAAATATCGTGCCATTTGTTTGATGCTCTAGAAGGGCACAAACCAAGAAGATCCCACCATCTACATAATTCTACATATAGCTTGCACTTAAGAGGCCCTTGGTGTCAACGAGACCCACCGCCCAATTCGGAAGCAGCGCAAGCACAGTAGGAGATAAGCCTCGGTAAAGACCTCGAACACCTTCTTCTTTAAAGATTTGTCCCAGACTTCCTGCAATAATACCACCTGCATGCTCCAGCAAGTTTTACATAAGGTCGAGTTGATCGAAATGACCAAAAAGAGAAAAAAGAAAGAAACTAACCAAGGTCCGTGAGACTCTGTTCAAGAACAAACAATATCGATTCGTGACAAAAAAAAATCCTAAGCCCTCTAAAAGACACTCGCGACTTCCTGCCTAGACTATTGGCTGTTTCAGACGATACCTTTAAGAGCAACGGGTCCATTTTTTGGAAACCTCGCCACCTGAAGACGAGTTTTGACTACATCCAGAGGGCACACAAAAGTAGCAGCGATAGTTCCTGCATCCAACGGGTTACATGTACACGTTACGAATGTAATTCAGATTGAGCTTTAAAGCTGAAGCAATTAGGGTCGACCAAATTGGACTAAATCGTGAGTGAAATCAGGCCAGCTCACTGCAATTTCCCCAAGTCAGCGTCCCAAACAGAGAAGTTTACTGCAATACTCCTTCTGTTGCATCGAGCTCGAGAAAACTCAATTTCTAAATCAACAGCATTGACGCTCACAACAAGTCAGTTCTCAACTCTGACGGTGACGGTGAAAACTGATGACTTTTCCAAGTTAAAGAATGTTAGATGCTTATTACCTCCGAGTGATAATATATTTTCTTGGCAAAAAACTGTGCGCTAATTTAAAATCAGCACGTACAAGCTTACAGCAATTTGAAGGTTTACAGCAATTTGCTTTGATAAGCTGGATAGACACTTCATCGTGCTGAGACGACTTCGAACTTGCTAATCCTAATCGATCAAGCATCCGTGGCTAATCTTCGTCTGGCACAACACAGGCACCCTGACCCATACGATGCCAACAACAAACAACTATCTCCACATTTTTTTATGGTAGTCCGAAAAGCCGCAAGGTGACAGACCGTGCTAAACAGCAAACGAGTCATCATTTCGGGTCCGTTTCTACCTTTCAGTGACACGGAACACCTCAACCAGTGGCCAACAGGAAACGTGTCCATGGTGGCTTCACTTTCTATGAGGTTGCAAGGAAGGACTCAACATTAAAACTACGTCACGAGATGAGTAAAATTCCCAAGGAATGTACTGGGAGCCAGGAGTGCAGTTTGCCCAACTGCGCACCACGAAACCGGCTGGGGCCACATCAACGAAATACACAATTTGAGTTGTAAACAACGAAGCATCCCAGATGACAGACATCGGCATCTTCGCCTGGAACAAATGACTACCCCCTTTCGGCCGCTGTGTGTACAATTTTTCTTCGTGAAACGGATGACGGCGACAAGCGAACGGCGGTGTACAACTTTGTTTTTCAAAACTCCCCCCCCAGGCCGCACTATAAATTGGCTAGCAGGCCACCAACGATAGGTGCAAACACCATGTCGGATTTTCACAGTTGAGTGCAAAGGCTTTCTCAACTGACCACAGTCTCTGGCATCCCTCCTATATTCCAATTCCTCGAACAAGCAGATTCAGCCATCAGAAACGAGCTAATCGATTCTCCAATTCACAGATCATATTACGCACCTGCACCAGCACCAGCGGCAGCATCGAACAGCTTAGACCGCTGTTCCTCAGGCATCTCTTCGATCCACCTCCTCATGTGCCACTGCACCAATCTATGAACGTCCTCAACCCTAACATGCGTCTGATACCATTGGAGACAGGCAGAGTCCCGCCTAGCCTCCTAGGCCCCGAGTCTCTTAAGCGTCTTCAGATGTCCCACCACAACCAGCACTTCCACAGACATAAAAAGCCCCGCTGCAGCCTTCCGCAAGCGCCAAAAGCCGAATCAGATAATCCACGCTCTTCGGACTTTCCTCCACTAAACCATCAACCATAGCCTAGTCCGTCCACAACCCCTCCGTCATCTTCCGCTCACCACATGCTGAATACAGAATTCCTTCAAAAAGCCGCTACATGCACATAAACAACCACGACATCAACTCGAGAACACCCCTGCCTCGGCTCGAGTCAATGTATCACCTCGCAACAAAAAAGGCAATCACCATCGACACAACGCAAGGCATCCCTCCTCCTCCGACTCACAGCCTCGATTCTGTACAGCCTCTTCTACCTTCCTGGTACGAAAGGCCTTGCCACTGTCTCCAATCCCCAGCGCCGACAGGAGCAGATCTTAGGTGCGCGCACACGCAACGAACAGTCCCTCCCGGCCATCCAGCCAGCAGGTCCAGTCCAGCCAATCCGTCAGTCGCCTTTCCAACATATGTCCTGTCTACGCTACTTACGCGAGCGAGCCGCATGCAGCACCAGGCAAACGGGTGGGCGTTCTACGCAAGCGGGAACAAAGGATGCAGGAGCAGCAGCAGCAGCAGGAGGAGGAGGAGGAGGCAGGCAGGAAGCAAGAGAGCCAGCCCCTCCTCATGGCCCTCATCACCTCTTTCCTCTCATCTTTACTCGCTCCTGTCCTCACGAGCCGGACAGGGGACCAGAGCTTCGTCCCTCCTCCCGTTTCCATTCGTCGAATTCCAGTGGGCCCAATCATCGCTCATCGCCATGTGGTCCCCTTCTCCTTCTCCTTCCCTTCGCCTGCCCCCTCCCCCTCCCCCTCCCGTCCAGGGCCCTCGCCTCTCGCCCTCCCTCCCTCCCTCTCGAGCCTCGATGGGCGCCCGGCGCGGGCCATCGAGACGAGCACGCGAGGTCGGGGAACTCTGGAAGGGAAGGTCCACTGAGCTCACAACCGTCTACCTCGAGCCCGGTCAGTCTTCGGGCGCCGCGACTTCGGCGCATACGCCAAGCGCGTACGCCCGAGTTTCGATACACCTGGAGTCCCAAGATTCCGCCCTTTTCCACGCGAATCTCCCGCAGTTTCTTGGATTCTGCTCCGCGAAACTCGTTACAGTTTCTGGCCTGCAAGGGCCGGCGAATCCAACTTCCCTTTCCACGGGGCCTCCGACTTGTTCTTTGTCTGCTCGATCCACGGTGTTTGATATGGAAGTCACGCCTTTGATCCGCTGGACAATCCGCTCTCCGCCTCCCGTGCAGCTGCGCTCCTCACCGTCCCTTCCGGTTAAAGCCCCCGCTCGCGTCGCTGCTCCCGGTTCCATGCCCCATTTCTGTCACCGAGTTCATTCGGAACGAGCTCCACAACATCAACGAATTCATATCCAACAAATCGTAACGTCGACTGTGAAGGAGCGCACATTTCGTCCGACCGTCATACCAATCCACGCTCGATTTCCTGTGACAATCTGACAATTACGGGAAGTACTTTTTTATGCATCGAATCCAGGGCATCATTATTACGTACTGTCGCCTCGAGTCTGTTCTATGGACCCCGGGCCACACTAATGACCTCCGGACAGCGTCTTGACTGCTACTACTGTACTATGGAATTAAATGTATTGATGTGTTATGTTCGTACTCGCACTAGAAAAGGAGGCGTCTTCTTGTACATGGACGGAGCCCCGCGTCGGATAGTGCTTTATTCGATAAAGAGCCACAGTACCTTCCGTCTCTATCCAGAACTGTGATTTTGGCAAGGAAAGTTGCCTCGGAACGTGGAAACAAGTCCTCTAAACTCAATCGGTGGGTGGGGTCGGTGGGTGGGTCGTAGCGTTCAGCTCTAGGTGCTCCAAGCATTACGTCGGGCCCATGGTATATAAACTCAATTGCCTTCACCGTTTGCGTAAGCCCTGTCCTTGTATTGGACCCCTCGCTGTTGCTTTCTTGGAACCTTCTTATGCGGAGTTAGGACCACATTACTGAACAATTTCTGGAAATAAAAGACCCAAAACATCACACGAAGCATGATCAAAGGTAAGTTACCTTTGATCATGATTGACATGCTCAGGCTTCAACTTGCTGCCTATTCATAGAAAAACTACTATAATGAAGAAGTAATTCGCCACAATCAATATAAACTCCGTTGCCATCACCGTTTGCGTAAGCCCTGTTCTTGTATTGGACTCCTCACGATTGCCTTCTTGGCACTTCTCATGCGTAGTTCTTTTAGGTCGACATTTAAGAATAATTTCTGGAAACAAAAGACCACGCCAAGATCACACTAGGCATGATCAAAGGTAACCCCTTTTCCTCGGTTTATATGCTCAGGGCATGCTTCAATTCAACTCACTGTACATTTCATACGAAGACTACAGTAATAAAGGAATTCGCCAATGTATAGATATGTCTTCAGAGCTGCGGTTCACTCTAGGTGGCTCGGCGTACAATAAAATAACAAGGTAAATGAATAGCAAGCTAGTTGAAGTCTACCCTGAGCAAGTCAATCCTGAACTGAAACTCTTTTCCGTCATTGACATGCTCGGGGAAGGCTTCAACTTGCTGGCTAGTCATAAAAGAACTACGATAATGATGAAGGAATTCGCCGGCATCATATATAAACTCCGTTGCCTCGTTGTCTTCACCTTTTGCGTAAGTCCTGTTCTTGTATTGGACTACTCGCAATTGTTTTCTTGGCACCTTCTCATGCTTAGTTCTTTTAGATCGCCATTTAAGAATAATTTAAATATGCAGTTGAACCTCCCAATAGGGACATATATTGGTACTTAGGTTTTATGTCACTCACAAGAATAAAGCGCGCATACATTGTTGTTAAAATTGTATGTCATTGTTGAGAGGTGCATAATCTAAATTTTAACTCATAATAGTGACATACATTGGTGTTGGGGTTAGATGTCATTATTGGGAGTTATCAATAATATAAAAAAAAGTTCATAGATTTCTTATCTTCCATTGCATCAATCCTAAGAATTTCTATAAATGTGTTTTTTGGTTTCAAAATGGATTTCAATTGTACATTTGTATTGTTAACATGGACATTATAATTACATTCAAATTTAGATTAATATACACAAATCTAAGTGAAACAATTAATGATAATATATGTAGCAAATTATGGGTTTAGGGTTAAATCCTAAATCCTTACTTAAATCCAGAAAGTGTGAATTGTTGAGATATACTATAAATTTATTTATGACACATTTTTTTAATCTCATGACTATATATAAGAATTTTTACTCTCAAATTATATTTGAAATTGTCAATATTGCATAGTAGCATGTCACCTATGGGAATAATGGTGTACCGTTCTTATTAAAAGATTTATAAATTAAAAACTAATGGTTTGGGATTTTATGTCATTAATGAAAGGATGTCATTCATAAAAATTAACTCTGCAAAGAAAAACATCACGCCAGAATCACACGAGGCATGATTAAAGGTGGCCCGTTTTCCTCGATGTACATGCTCTCAGGGCAGGCTTCAACCTACTGGCTAGTAGGTTGAAGCTTGCCCTGAAGGACTTCGCCAAAGGATAGGTATGTTAACCTACCTCAAAAGAGTCGAGCTGCGGTTTTCTGCAGGTGTCCAATACAAGAACAGGGACCATGAATAGCCAGCAAATTCAAGACTGCCCTTAGCATGTCAATCCTGACCCTGGTGATCACAAATGTAACCCCTTTTACTTGATTGCCATGATCAGAGCAACATTGACATGCTCAGGAAGGCTTCAACTCGCTTGTTATTCATAGAAAAACTACGATAATAAAGAAGGACAACGCGATATCATAAACTTCGTTTCCTTCTCCGTTTGCATAAGCCCTGTTCTTGTTTTGGACTCCTCGCGAGTGCTTTCTTGGCACCTTCTTTTAGGTCGACATTTAGGAGTAAGTTCTGGAAACAAAACAACCCGACGTCAAGATCACACGAGGCATGATTAGAGCCACCACCTTTTCCTCGGTTGACATACTCAGGGCAGGCTTCAACTCGCAGGCTATTCATAGGAAAACTACGGTAATGAAGGAATTCGCCAAAGGATAGATATGTCTTCCTACCTCCGAGGAGGCGAGCTGCGGGTCTCTCTAGTTGCTCCGGCTATCGTCCAATGAGCTTGTTCTATGAGATAATACCCTCTTGGGATCTGTTACCTGTCCACATCGGGCCTACTTTACAGAAGGAATAGACAACAGCGAAAGTCATCCCACAGGACTCAGGGTACAAATGGATTGTACCCTAACACTTGCAGTACCTGGGAACATCCGTTTCATCCCAGACTGGACGCGAATTCCGCAGCAGAGCTGTCCGTTGTTCTGTGAGCTTGTGGGACAGTCCTGGACTGGAATGTAAAGCCAAGTCAGAATGCGTGACCCGTGGAGTCGAGGACACAAGTCACATGCCAGACGTCCGCATACAGTACCATGGAATTTGTATTTGAATGCTTAAGAATCTAACACAGGTTGCTACACAGATCATATTCATCGGTTCTGACCACATGTCGACCCAATTATCATCCAAGAACCGGTCAGACTTATCTTTTCTTTCAGCATGAGATCGACGTCTGGTGGCATTTAAATTCGTAAGATATACACAGATCAGATTATGAAAGCAAGCCTCACGATCTCTTAAACATAACCATGCCAGTTCGTATTCCATGTTAGTTCAATGAAATACCAAATTAACTTAAGTATGTAAGTAGACGATAACAAAAGGTATGTGACCTTGGTGGTAAAACCTATCATATTCGTTGTTTTGAACCTGTGACAAATTGTAATCTCCCATGATAGGGTCTTGGCATCGAAGCTTTTGAATTTAAGAATCATTTTGAATCATAATAGTTTTTCCCACAACCGCAAATATTTTCCACTTTTCTTTGTACTATACATTTAGAAAGTTTCAATATGCGTTGAAATTAGTTGGACCTTTCAAGGGCCTGTCCATTAGATATTCAAGAAGAATCCGGAGTTTAAAATATTTTCAGTTCCCTTTATAGAATATGATATATTTCGCTGGAAGTCCAAGCGTTTTGAGGAGAGAATCTCTTTAGAGGGCATAGACTCGCGCAATTCTCTTGCATCATGATCGTTGGCTGAATGAAAATGTTGTGACTCAAGATTCTCTCCTTTCCACCTGATCTTTGGAGACTTTTCATATACATTAGTCTAAATGAGGTTCGCTTAGTAAAGACTTTCTCGCGAGTCGGGCGTGTATCAACGTCAGAACTTCATCATAACTAAGCGAATGTACATATGAATTGCTAAAATTTGAACGAAACAGAGGAAAACAATAAATGTTGGACTATCTCTCTTTGACATGGAAAATTTCAAACTTATTGTTGCTAGACTTAAGACATCCGAGTTTTGAATGTGAAGTTTGGAAAGTTTGGAAACATCAATGATACAAGACTAGCCATTCCAATTACCAAGCTTTTCTTTAAGTTTATTGAAGAAGTTGAAATTTTATTGCTTAAAAATGCTCGAGAACTTATGAAAGGCAAATGGTTGTTTGCGTCTTTAAAAAGACTTCTTCACCCAGCATAAATATGCAGCGGCCTTAAAAAGTTGTGGATGGCCGATATTCTGACCAAAATAACCACTGAACAATTATAAAAGCGACTCTCTTCGGTTTTACGCAAATACATCGATATTATTTTCTTCAGTTTGCGTCAACTTCAGAATTATATAAAGTGATATTTCGCATGTGATTGCTCGAACCTCATGGTTACTGATCGTATCTTTCACACGGGAAAGACACGGTGAGATGAGAGAGTAAAAAGCATGAAGAATGTTCAATTGACAGGTGTATTATTTGTCTGAAAGACATACTTAAAAATATTTTTTATAGTTGATTTACTTAGACTCTTGGGCATGTTCAGACATTAAACATGGTTCCCGATTGTTAATTATGATTCAAATGATCTGAATAAATTACACCTCTTGGCAATACACTTGATCAATTTTAGTTTTAGATACAAATCTTGAAGGTAATTTTGCTTTTCTTTTACTAACTGAGGTACAAAAGCTATGATACAAAGTGCTCGGAAATAGTTGGTGGCTTCTGCATCTACAACTTTTACCGTAGACAAAAAATACCCAGCTTGACCATATCCTCGATCGTTGTACATCATAAAGAGAAGATTTATTTGGCTTTCTTAACTTTGTTAGCATTACGCACTGATACAATAGGGCTTATCGTATGTGACTGATAAATGAGCTACATCTTTAAAAAGACTAATTGAAAAAGCTGAAGCAATCATCTGCATGTATATATTTGGTACTGATAAGAAATCAACATCATCGTGAGCATAGGAGCACGACATACAAATTGCATGTTGACCCGGCATTTAAAAAAAGCCCCTACGATTATCAATTTCGGCATCTATGATGTACAAGAGAATATTAACAAAATCATAAGGATATCAAATGCGCTTTGAATGTGTGCAAATTTCGTTAATTGCC